CGTCGGAGAACCTGGCCGAACTTGCAGCATCTGACACCTTCTTCTGTGACGGAACTTTCTACAACTGTCCAACAATGTTTCATCAGATTTACAGCGTCCATGTACAGAATGAAGGCATCATGACACCAGTCGTATACGCATTACTTCCCGTAAAGAGCCAGGCAATCTACAGCCGTTTCTTCACCCTTCTCCAGGATCACATGGCACACTTCGACATTCCATTCCGACCCACTACAGCCTTCGTCGATTTTGAGGTAACTGCACACAATGGATAGAGGGAGATCGTACCACCTGGAACCACTTCTCAACCGAGGGACCCCGGACTACTAACCATCTGGAAGCTTGGCAAGGAAAACTGAAGAAGGTACTGCATGCCCACCCCAACATCTACACCATCATCCAGACGTTTAAGGACATACAGAACATGAACGACATCAGCCGGATTCAGAGAGACGCAGGAGGCACCATTCAACCCCGGAAGAAGAAATACGCCAACATTGACAGACGCCTGGCCACCTTGAAGGACCGTTACCAGACTGGGACAATCGACCTGATGACCTATGCCGATTCAGCATCCGAGCTTCTGTATCTTGGATAGAGTGTTTTGTGTTTTCTGGACTTATGGATTACTTGATTATCACAGGTTGTAAAAGGACATAATATCTAGATAAATGGATTATGTATTGTCATACATAGTGCTAATTCAGCTTCATTTAGGGGTTTACTATTTATATTAGATCATACTTTATTTAATGCTAAGATGTGGATAATGTTTCAACATCATATATATGTAATACAAATACAATTTAATAACAGACATCAGTGTATCATTGTGACTTACTAAATTTTATTTATCAATTAAATAAAATCTTATATGATAATCATTAAAATAATAAATAACAATTTTAAATACTAATAATTAATAACTATTTTGTAAAACTTCATATACTACAAAAATGTGTTACATTTATATATGTAAAACAAAAAAAAACTTTACCTATTTCCTTATTGATATGTACGTATCCTATTTACAAGGACAAGTTGACATTCTTAGTTGAAACAGACTATAACTTTAACATCAAAGGATTCCCTTTATAAACACCCTCCTTTCAAGTTGGCAGAGTTGGTGTTCGGGGAATGAGCCCTTGTAATTTAGGTAATGTCCTTAATTTCTCTTTTCCTATGTATGGATTATTGAAGATATTGTAAAGATTGGAAGTGTCTCATAAACCATTGATGTCTGGATGTAAATATAGTTTTATGTTTAAATTTCTCAGGTACCTCGTTAAAAGTTGTATTAACAAGTGACACTAAAATCTGAAAAATAAATACAAAATAAAAACAGTCTCCCTGTTGTCGTCCACATGCTGTCCGGCTCGTTATATCCTGTGGTCATCGACAAAATTACAAAAATGCATGGTCTTTTTTCTGTATGTAATGTTAAAGTTTCATCAGATCTCAGTAAATTTCTTGAAACGCTTGATAATCTATTGAATGTACGTAGCTAAAATAATATTATGTATGTAATTGTTTACCGCCATGCCAAGATTTTTTTTTATTTGTAATCTGACCTCTTGTAACATACTTTGCATGTCTGAGAGTACCAATAAAATCTAAATCTCAAAAAGATAACTTTGGTGTCTGTTCCATTCTGGCTCAATAGAGTCCGGCATATGTATTAAAAGTTGTCGGTACAAGGTACCCAACTCTTTCGTCTCGCTGGTGCCATTCCCAAAATACAATCAAAGTCAGGAACATGGATATTATTGTTTGTTTAGAATTAGTACCTAGTTATTCAGACATTAAAAAATATAATGAAAATTTAGGGATGCATGAAGGTTTAGTGGCGATACTTTTTAATTCAACTTTTGATTCTTATTTTTGAAAAGCTACATTTCAGAAAAATCAATATGTTGCTGCATTTCTTTTTCCGATACAGACATGGGACACGTGTATATAAAAAAAATATAAAAAATAATCCATTTTCATATATTATTCTTATTTTTTTTTAGTTGAATAAGAGACATTTTTTGTAATTTTCCAAGCAACCTTTTAATACAAAACCATATTTGTGCTAAAAGTGCCGTTTATAAGTTGATCACATAATAAGCCTGTTATTCCGGAAGTGTCACTTGTGTAATACACCCTGGAGCAGTTTTCATTCGTCGTGTCATTCAGAAATCGATTGTGATGTCATTATGTGGACAATGAAATTACGTCATGTATTGAAAATGGCGCGATAAAATGACTGCCTCTATTTGATTTTGTCCTCCACAGCTTGACGTTGACTCGGAAACCTGTTGAAACGCAACTCTTCTGACTTATAATGTTTTAAAAGTATGTTTTCATTTCATGTGAAATTTTTATGAAACCCCGAAACGAAGTCCTGCAAAAATGAAAACTTCTAAGACTAGGTGGTAAAATCATATGAAAGAAAATCTTATTTAATATCCCATATCTTATATCCCATATTTATATGATTTTATCATAATTGTGAAAAAACAACATTATTATTACTTTAGATATATTCTATATTCCACGGAAGGAGCTCTAACTTCAATGAATAATAGAATATTCAGATGATTTTGTCATTATGTTAAATGTCATATTGATATGTTAATTATCAATAAAAATATTTTACATGATATTAATGTACGTCGCCAGGTTCAAACATAAGTCAGACCAACTTCGGGTAAACTCATCTGAAATGGACCATACTCTTTTATTCATGGACTATAATCCTTCATTCATCTGCCCATTAAGCGTACGGTATGTTTTTAACAACAAGATCGCTGGCTTGGTGTTGGATAAGTCAATGGAATGACTCAATGAATGGTCGAACACACTGCCTGGGGCCTCCACAGGTAATGATAATTGTACTCTACCTTTAGAAATACGCCAATAGCTTGTCTAACACATTTCAATAAACAGTTTATCTCGGCCTCTGGGTAGATCTTCTCGGTGCAATGTTTAAATATAACATAGCTCAGTTGTGATAATAGTGAGTTGTAGTCTGGAATTGTTGTACAGGTAACTTGTACAGGTAAATAAGATAATCAAGTTCTGATAACTGTTCAGAAAACTGTTAATAACTGTAAAATAAATGAATAAAACATACTTGTTAAGACTGTTGCAATCCCAAGCTGTTCAATGGGAAATGTATATAACCACAGTACATTTAGGATAATTATCATATATCAATCTGCACTTTCAAGCATCAATTTCTCAATGCTTCATTTATTGTTTAACTTTTGTCACATTGCACTTTCTTTAGGTTAGTGTAAATTATCGTAACTTTTGTCATATATTAATCTTGTACTTTTTTCAGCCTAGTGTAAAGTGGGTTTATTTTGAGTGATATTATCTGTGTGGTTTGATACAAGTACAGGATGGCTAACGCTCAGATCAACGTTAAGTTCATCACAAACTGAAGAGGTGGACAGAACCTTTCGCATAATGGATCCATCTACAGACAGATTCGAAAAAACGTCAACAGGACATTCTGGAGATGTTTGACCTCAGGCTGTTCAGCATCCCTCTCGACAGTAGACAACATACCAGCTAACTCTGGAAGAAATCCACACAACCACGCCAACAGATCAGGAACCAGATCACCAACAACGAAGTGTATTCTAAGTTATCACCATTACAGGACTTTTTTTCCACTACACCCAGTGCATTTGGCGAAAGGCCCAGTCAATCGGACTCCAGACACTGTACCGTAACAACAATGACGTCAAACTACTTGTACGACGAGCAGCTGTTATGCCACTCATCCCCTTAAACCGCTTTGAGAACGTCTGGTTACAAACCCTTGAGGAAGCTGATGATGCTGACATCCCACATCCCGTGTTGTCATTCACAGATTACGTCACAGATAGAGGGAGATCAAAAACAACCTGGAACCACTTCTCAACAGAGGGACCCCGGACTACCAACCATGGTAAAGCTTGGCATAGGAAACTGAAGAAGGTACTGCATGCCCACCCCAACATCTACACCATCATCCAGACGCTTAAGGACATACAAAGCATGAATGATATCAGTCGGATTCAGGGAGATGCAGGAGGCACCATTCAACCCCGGAACAAGAAATACACCATCATTTACAGACGCCTGGCCACCTTGAAGGACCGTCATCTGACTGGGACGATCGACCTGATGACCTATGCTGATTCAGCATCCGAGCTTCTCCATCTTGGATAGAGTGTTTTGTGTTTTCTAGTAGAGACTTATCTAGTACTTGACTATCAAAGGTTGCAAAAGGACATAAAGTAGATAATGTATTGTCATAGACAAGTGCTAATTCAGCTTCATTTAGGGGTTTACTGTTTATTTTAAATAATAGTTTATTTTAGTGCTAAAATGTGCAAATTGATTTACTATTACATGTATAAATATAAATCCAATTTTATTGCTGACATCAGTATATCAATGTGACTTAATGAATTTTATTTATTAATTAAACATAATCTTACATGATAATCATTAAATAATGAATAATAATATTAAATATTAATATCTAATAACTATTTTATAATACTTTTATATGCTAAAAATTGTGTTATAATTAATTAAGACAAATAGAAACTTCTATTTCATTAATGATATGTAAGTATCCTATTTACCTAAATTATTGTTTTAATTACACTAGCAATACCATGCATTGAGATTTTGCGAAAATAGGATTAAAATAATACTTCAATATTTGAGTTTACGGTCTAAGTTTTTATTTCATGTTTTACAGAAGTTTAACTTCTAACATCTATATTTTAAAGCGATTACACGTGTCTCCTTTATGAACTAAACTACGTTGTATTAAGCTTTCATTAACCTTATCAGTGTTGAAAGGGAAAAGAAAATTTAAACTTATGTGAATTTCAAAAGACATTGAATGAAGGAATTTGAAGAAAAAAAATCAATCTTAAGGAAGATTATATCATGTATGCCGAATACAATCCGTATTGTGACTCTAATAATATGTTTTGTTTTACAGAGTTATGGAAACACGACCCGCTTCATCAGCTGTCGGATTAGTGGGATTAGTTCTCTTTCTTGTCTCGGTACTTTTTTTAATCGTGATGTTGAACTTGGTGAAAGAAAAGCTCCACTGTTTTGAAGACGAAGAATATATTCCTCCTGTCTTACCTATGGTAAAAGAAATAGACGATTTGCCCATCGTTGTGTCTGCGGCGCATGCGAAAAATTTTGACCAATCGATTGCTATGCTACAAACGGTGTTGGTGCATTTGACTCGACAGCATCCGAGCATGCATGTAATATTCTATGACATTGGCTTGACAGAAATTCAAAACGATACATTGTTTAGTTTGCCAAACAGCGCAACCATTGAAATACGTCGGTTTCCTTTCTCCAAATATCCGTCTCAGTTACAACGAATTCATTCAGGTGCCTTAAAGCCGGTAATTCTAGAGGAAGTTCTAGTAGAGTATGATTTCGTGATGTGGGTCGGACCTTCTCTCCGGTTCCACTCCGATGGTAAGTTAGACATTTTGTTTGATCTTGGACGATCTGCTAAAAGCGGAATAATTGTCCTAGATGGAGTAAAGCATCTCAATGCCAAGGCCACAAGGGACCTTGTAATACATAGTGTTCGCGATGAGCCAATTTTTTATGAATATTCCAGAGAATTAAACACCGAGTGGCTTCTTGTCAACAGACGAACTGATGTCATGGAGACAGTTATAACGCCATGGGTAAAATGCGCTGTCAGACGTAAATGTTTTTCTTCACAACAAACCATTTCCGCGCATCCGTGTGGAGTTACTAGAGGAATAAGGACTAACAAGACAGCATACAGTGAAGATCAAGTAGAGGGCTGTAACATCGACCGTTCAGTTCTGTCTGTTATGTTGTATAAACTCTACGATGGCTGCATCCACGCATATATGTTTACAAAAAAAATGATTAATTATGACATTACCATTTGCTCCTGAAAAACTTGAAATGGTGATATGATTTTTTGTTACAGAAACTTTTGTTTTATGGGCAAGTATGACTAAAAACTCTTAAACTCACAACTATATTTATACGTTTCATTGTCGTCTTACAATGATATGCCTATTATTAACGAAACGCTGACTTCATGTTTCATCATGACAATCATATGGATTACCACTCAATGATAAGACTACAGACCTTTCTCAATTCTAGAGAATTCCTTAACACCCCAAGAACATGAATAACACCTTTCCGTGTAGTTTTATAATAAATTTAACTGCATCATATAACCTGTTTCATCCTTGTGAGTCGTCAGTAATGTTGAAACTCCGTAGGCTACAGAAGAAAGAATTTAAAACGGTTCCTCTGTTTTCTGTCCCCTTCATTCAAGGATGTTAAGAAAGAAATTTGGACAATATCCTGTTATACTTGCTGAAGACGAAGGATTTTACAAGTATTTCTTTATTCCACCTCTTGCGCCCAAAATGGCCAGATTCACTTTTCAAATGAAAATTGAGTCCTCTTTACAATTTCGACAAAAAAAAAAGATATTTAAAATGATATTTGTATATCCGCTTTTGAGCCCTGCCCCTCTGCAGCCAGGGAGAAGACCCATCTTTTACACAAAATTGCCTCGATGGTGAAATGTCCGAGGCAAGGCTTGTATTAGCTGATTTACGGGAACAAACGAGGAGCACATGGTTTCATGTTTATTCCAAAATGGCGGGCAGTCATCAACAACAATAATGAGCATGCGCAATACACATACAAATTGGTAACACTAAACACTGTTGGATAGAAACAGCAACCGCCCCAGACTAGTATGATTCTACAAACATTACACTCCCCCCCCCCTTTAAGAATATAATTACTGGCTGTAATTAGTATTTAAAGGTAATTTCACTAGAACAAAACATGTTTTTCACACAGTTCATGAAAATCAGTCTTTCAAAATCTGAACACAATTTAACATAATTATTATACTTTCGGTATAATTTTAACTGTCATTAAATCACTACAGTTGCACAATATAACAGTTCCAGTTCAACTTTTAACTGTCACATGGTTTCGATTAACCTGTTTGGTTTTGAACGTTCACGACGCGGAAATCGCGACTCTGTTGCCATGGATCCAGATTTATCACATGAAGGAATAGATTCCACAGTCTTTGGCATGGTTTCGCGACTCTCATTTGTAATAGAGCGTTTGAGAGTTGGAGATGAAATCATAGATGGAGTGATCGACTCACTTGAAGGAACCATAGGTGCACGCGTTATCTCTTCGCGAGGAAAATACGATGGTAAGTCAATGATATCCTGCAAATGCGACTTGTTTTGATAATCATCCACAACACAATCTGGATGACATGCTCTCATCTGATCAATATGTCTTTTCCACTGTAATTCTCCAACCTGTACGGTGTAGGTAACTGGTCCTAGCTTCTGCAGAATAAGTCCACGAACCCATGATGGTTTCCGCTTTTGACCTCTGTAGTCATGTACCATAACCAAGTCTCCAACCTCCATTGTGCGATCTTTCTTGACATGTTGTTGATTTCGTAATTGAACTGACTGTTTCAAATTTGGTCTTATAATGTCCAAACGAGTTCTGAGCTTCCTGCCCATGAATAACTCAGCTGGTGTGACCTTGGTCAAAGTATGAGGAGTTGTCCTGTATGACAATAGGAATGATGCCAGCTTCTGGTTTAATGTTCCTTCCTCATCTTCCAAGTTTTTCATCCCAGTCTTAAAGGTTCTAACTGCACGTTCGGCTTCACCATTTGAACTTGGGTGGTATGGCGCTGATTTGGTATGCTTAATACCGTTTTTCTTTAGGAAAGATTCAAACTCAGCCGCTACAAACTGAGGTCCATTGTCTGATACTACCTCTTTCGGTAGTCCATATGAGGAAAACATGTATCGAAGCGCGTTGATGGTGCTCTCAGCGCTCGTTGACGACATTCTTACAACATCCAGCCATTTGGAATGGGCATCCACAACGACTAAGAACATGTTGTTTAAGAATGGTCCTGCGTAGTCAATATGTACACGTTCCCAAGGCTTGTTCGGCCATAACCATGGGTTTGAGCGTGACTGTGGCATGTTTGGTAATTGTTTCCTACAACTTTCACACTTTGCCACCCTTGTTTCTATGTCCATATCTAAGTTTGGCCACCACACAAACAATCTAGCCAATGCCTTCATCCTAACCATTCCAGGATGGTTAACATGTAACTCATTCAAAATGTCATCCCGGTATCGATCAGGAACAATCACTCGGATTCCTCTTAATAAACACCCTTCCTCTACCGTCATTTCCTCCTGAACGCGGTAAAAGGGAAGTAACTCATTTTCTGGCTTTTCATGTGACCATCCATTAGTGACAAAATACATCACTCTTGACAAAACAGGATCATTTTTTGTTGCCATAGCAATCTGAGCTGCGGTGATAGGTAATTTGTTCAACTGAATTTTGTTCACCTTTGCGGCTTCCTGGTCCAATTCCGTACAATCCTCCGAATCGATAGGGAAACGGGATAAGGTGTCAGCATTCCCGTTCTGAGTTGTTGATCTATACTTGATGTCAAACTGATATGAAGACAACTGGATAGACCACCGTTGCAATCGTGAAGTTGCTAGTACAGGAATACCCTTCTTTGGACCTAGTATCAATGTCAAAGGTTTATGGTCCGTCAACAATGTGAACTTTCGGCCGTAGAGATACTGATGAAACTTGCGGACCCCGTATATAATCGCTAATGCTTCCTTCTCAGTTTGAGAATAGTTTTTCTCAGCAGAAGTGAGTGTGCGTGATGCGTGTGCGATCGGTCGGTCATCGTTCCCAATTGTGTGAGAGATCACTGCTCCTAGGCCATACGAAGATGCATCAACTGCCAATGTTACAGGCTTTTCTGGGTCATAGTGAATCAATACCTCTGATGAGACTAACAGTTCTTTGATTTTCACACATGCTGAATGACAATCTACTGTCCAATTCCATTCAATTTTGTCAGCCAGTAGTTTTGTGAGTGGTTGTACAATGGTAGACATGTCAGGTATAAACTTCCGGTAATAGTTAACAATCCCTAACCATGCCTGAAGCTCCTTCTTGTTTTGAGGATCTTTTAACTGTAGAATAGCCTCAATTTTTTGTGGTGATGGGTGGATCCCCTCTTTGTTCACTACAAAAGCAAAATATTCCACCTCCTCTTTCATGAAGAAACACTTAGTTTTCTTTAGTTTGACTCCATAGTCATCTAAACGCTTGAGTGAAGCATCCAGATTTTGCTGATGGGTAACATCATCTTTTCCGGTTACAAAAACATCATCCAGGATACAACCGACACCATCCAATCCCTGTAGTACAGTTTCCATGGTACGCTGAAATATAGCTGGCGCAGATGCTACACCAAATGGAAGTCTGGTGTACCTGTACAATCCAAGATGGGTGTTGATGGTCACATATTTTCTAGACTCTTCATCAAGTAGTACCTGGTTGTAAGCTTGAGTTAAATCCAACTTTGAGAATTTTTGTCCTCCGTTAAGCTTTGTGAATAGCTCTTCACTTGTTGGCAGGGGATATTCGGGTACTTCTAGCACCGGATTTATGGTAATCTTGAAATCACCACAAATTCTAACTGAACCGTCTGGTTTCATGACTGGCACAATGGGTGTTGCCCACTCTGAACTGTCCACCTTTTCCACTATGCCTGCATTCTCTAAACTGAGAAGTTCTGCACCTATCTGGTCTTTCAGCGCATAAGGTACAGTTCTGGCCTTGAAAAACTTAGGTTGGGCATTGTCCTTGAGCTTGATTGATGCTGTGATCCCCTTGACCGTGCCTAACTTGTCCTCAAACACTGAATATTTCTGTTCGTTGATAGACATCATGTTTATTGTTTTCCAGTTAAGTCGAAGTTGTCCTAACCAATTCCTTCCAAATAATGCTGGTCCATCACCTTCCACAACAAGCAATGGTAAAAGTTTGGTCTGTCCCTCATAAGACACTTTGACGTTAGCCTCACCCAACACTGGTAATACTTCACCAGTATATGTTTTCAACATTGTCGAGCTGTTTTGTAGGTTGAATTTTCCCTGGAATTTAGCTCTGAAATCCTTATCAGATATCAATGAAACTGGTGAACCGGTGTCAAGCTCCATCGTTTGAGCTATCTTTTCAATGTCAACAGAAATTCTTATTTCCTTTTGCCCTGTGGACTTTATAGAGAATATCGGCCATACTTCCGAAACATCCTCCTGGTCTGAATCCTCAATGAAATGAATCTTCGAACTCTTCTTATGTTTCTTTGAGTCCCCCTTTGTTGGCCTGGCTGAATCAGTATTACATCTAGTACCACCAGTACCTTGATTTTTGGAGTTACCAGGTTTATCTCTAGAGGTTTTGGATTTTGGGCATCTCTTGTGTAAATGTCCTACTTCCTTACATGTATGACACTTACTGTTCTTGTAGAAACATCTGTCTGCGCTATGATTAGACTTACCACAGCGGAAACATTCTTTTGACGCTTGAAATTTGTGAACTTTTTCAGCTTTATCCACTCTGTCACCCTTTAACTTCCGGGCCTCATTTTCAGCCATTTCCATACTCACTGCTATCTCTCTTGCTTTAGTCATTGTCAGAGTAGCTTCGGTTAGGAGTTTCCGTTGTGTAGGGATGGAAGACAAACCCGACACAAACCTGTCTCTCAACGCATCATCTAGAAATGCACCAAATTCACAATGTTCACTGAGCCGTCTCAATCCAGCCACATATTGACATACAGTTTCATTCGAATGTTGATTTCGTTGATAAAATTTAAAGCGTTCTGCTATAATGAGAGGTTTCGGCTTTAAATGCTGAGAAATGAGTGTCTTTAATTCATCATATGTTTTGGCGGAGGGCTTTGCGGGAGATGTGAGGTTTCGCACTAGTCCATACATTTTCTGACCCATAACCGTCAACAATATCGACCGTTGTTTGTCTGCGTCCTCCACTCCATTAGCTATAAAATACTGCTCTACTCTCTCTACATACTCATCCCAGTTCATTTCAAAATCGAATGATTCAATTTTACCGTACACTGCCATGATCAAGTTTACGTGCCCCTGTGCGTGAAAACTTTCGCCATTTGGCTGTCGGTGAATAATGGCTTTCTAGTATAATTACAGAGTTTTTGGTTTACCGTACTGCCGTTGTCTTCAGCTTCGATGCACCGGAAATCCTCGTCGCCACTGAAATGTCCGAGGCAAGGCTTGTATTAGCTGATTTACGGGAACAAACGAGGAGCACATGGTTTCATGTTTATTCCAAAATGGCGGGCAGTCATCAACAACAATAATGAGCATGCGCAATACACATACAAATTGGTAACACTAAACACTGTTGGATAGAAACAGCAACCGCCCCAGACTAGTATGATTCTACAAACATTACAGATGGTGCTTCGGAACAAATTTCCCGGTAATAAAAGTACACCAGCAGTGCGAACGTCATGCAATCTCAGACGACAAAGACAAGTTAATACCACCTTTCAATCCAAATCTAGAATTAGAACAAAAATATGATTCGTTCATGCTCGTTGGTTTGCATGTTGGTTCCACTGTTGTATACCTTGTTCTCATAGGAGAACGTGACATTACTTACTTATATTGACCATGATTTACATAACAGGTGTCGTTGATGAAGCAGAAGACGCTTACTTTTCTGAAACACTTTGCCTCATTCTCCTTGTACTTTTTCAGACATCTTCGTGTATTTTTTTCTATATTTTGTCATAGTTTTATTGAATTTGAGTTTGGAATATGATTATGTTGACATTTCGGTATTTTCTTGTTTATTGAATTTGAGCTTGGATTATGATTATATTGACAAGTTGATATTTTCTTGTTTTCCACTAGATGATAAACGAGTGGAACTACAAGCAAAAACTATGAACCGTTGTCTAGCTAGATCAAAACCATTTTTTCTTATTGGTGTAAAGCGATACGGACACAGTTCGCTTTTACCATTATTGCAATGGCTTCTCTGTTATTTTATTTTGTTCTTCACAACTTAACTGACTCAGACTTCCTCGCTCTAATGGGTAATCTCTTCCCATAATTGGAAAATCTCCGCTGGCATCCTTTTATTTTTATTCATACTCATCTTAAATTCGTTGTAGTTCTGGTCGAATTGGTATTCTTTGCCCCCTTCGGCTGTCAAGCTTATCGCTTTACCACTTGACGGAGTGAAACGAAGGGCAATAACTCTGGAAATAATCGAATTAAAAGCTTTCAAATATTATGTGAACTTATTTTTGAAAGTTATCTTTGAACTTTGACTGCAGTACAAGTGTACATTTAATAAACGTCCACTATAAGTTTAAAATTCACGCTTTTAATTTTCATAACTTAAATGGACTAAAGGATGTAATGGTTCTGAAACATTTTTATTAGAATGTAAAATTGAAAATACAACTTCCAAACATACTACTCAGTGGATAGTTATAACAATAATTCACACCCACCCACACCCACACCCACACCCACACACACACCCACACACACACACCCTCACACACACACACACACACACACACACACACACACACACACACACACACACACACACACACACACACACACACACACACACACACACACACACACACACACACACACACACACACACACACACACACACACACACACACACACACACACACACACACACACACACACACACACACAAACTCAATGAATCTACAAACTGAAACTGACAAATATTCGGCAAGAATAATTTATGTGCGAGTTACAACTCTTGTCACTTTATGATCCGTGAGTCGGGAATTCATGCCAAGTTCTTGTGATTGGGGACATTTGACGGACTGTAGTATCAAACTATCATGACATGCTCTCTATATATACAGCAATACTGATATCACAATACCACGATATAAACAAAAACAAAAACAAAACAAAAAACAAATACCAAATTATATAAAGAAAAAATAATATATATATATATATAATTGCGATTGACAAAGGGATAGATAGCTCAGACAAGTTTCCCGATTTGAAAGGTTGCGTTGTGTGTATATTGCCACCAGGTGTTTATCATCTCCTTTGGAGTATGGCAGCACTGATATACCAGAGCTAAGTGAGAGTACCTGCCAGCATTATGAAAGAAATGATGATCTTGTGGACTGACCTGTACGTTTCTAGCAATAATACCTAACCACGCGTCATCTATACCTAAACGACGTATATAAGGGAATGCATAGGTAAATTTTCTGGCGACTGACATACTGCTGAGATACGCACCGCCTGCTAGGTACGGAGGCCAATATTTATGAGGGAATACATCCCACGACAAACCCCATTTGGAATGTTCGTTTCTATCTACAGGCCTGGCAATTCTCTGTCCTGTGAATATTGACTGAACATCAGTCTGCGGAATGGAATAAATGTAATTAAGAATTTTAGGTAGGTCAACAATAAAGTCATCATCTACAAAAAAGAGAAATTGGGCGCTTCGACAATATTGAGTTGCCCAGTTAAATGACATGATAGATTTAAGAGTGTTGTTCATATAAGCATCTATAAAGTCTTCTTGAACTATATCTTGAAACTGTTTGGCCTCTTCGTCAATGATTTCCTGTTGAACGAGTCGGGAACTGTTACGTCCTAGCATGAACACTGTCTTAACGTTGCTTTCACTGATATTGGCCCATGTCTTCCGTATAGCCTGTCGCAGTAAAATATTGCGTACTGTAGATTTCACAATAACCAATAATGTCCGACGATTTTCACTGGTAAATTGACAATGACCAGGATTATTTATATACCGGAAAGGGTGTGGATTAACTACCTCTAAATCCTCGTCTATTTCCGTGGATGAATTCACAGTTTTCTTGTCGGCTAATGTAAAGATATTCCTATGTTGTATGAAAAACGGTCTTCCCGGCATACTGTGCTTCCAGGCTTCTATGTTATGGTTATCTTCTCTTCTGACTGTGAATGAAGGTTTTATATCACCGTCTATGGTATGAAGGACGGATAGCATTACCACCAGTATCACAATAATTACCAGCGTTACCTTATGACGAAGCAGCGACGGAAAAGGGACCACAAAGGAAATGGCATTCATGGAATTACAACAACATCTACACATCTGTCGCATCATAGCTCCACACTTGAAACGAAACATTTTTGACAAGGAAACTTAAAAACTACGCTGACAAGTTCATTTTCACATTTACCAACCAGGAAGTCCTTGTGAATAACAGAGAACTTTCGTCCACTCGTCAGCACGTTGTCTTTTATAGTGGCGTCAACTTATTGTCATTATTCACAATTGAAGCAGCTTCTAACAGGACCCTTGCATCTGTAACAAATTATGTTTTGCAAATTAATTAACATTTAATGATCAATTGATGATGATGATGATGATGATGATGATGATGATGATGATGATGATGATGATGATGATGATGATGGTGATTTAATATAAAGTTTATTACGTTGAGTGTGGGTAAGTATTTGCGTTCTTTAAATATCTCATGTAAATTATTTAAATATTGAGGTTTTTGATGTATCCGGAAAGTCAATCGGTTCCGCCGGTCGACTCCGGCATTTAGTATCGCCGTAGAAAGCATTGTTATGAGCCGCCATGTTTGACGCTTTTTGTTCAGAGCGGTTTTCGGATGTTTGCAAAGTGCAATACATAGAGATACACCACGAATCTTTTACCCTCACTGGAGAATGGATTAAACATCAAACCTAAAAGAGTTGTTTGTTCTCGCACAGTAAAAGATTCGTGACGTTATCATTGAGCCATAGGTCAACATGAGTGTTCATTCGGAACCAGGTATTAGATCTCTAAGCACTAGAACATTGACATTACCAGCTTTGGATATGTATCACGATAAGTTTAAAACATACTATGAGAAGTTAAACGATATCAAGAATGAGCTAAGGTCACTGCCAGACGACTTAGAGCGAGGAAAAAATGACAAAGATACTTTACTAGCTCTCGATAAACTAGTTTCATTTGTCGAAGTATCATACTTCAAAAATGCCGATATATTTCGCGACTTCTTACGGAAAACCAGATCAGTCGAAAGTGTAATTGAACTCAAGCAACTAGATACAGAAAGACGCTTGTTCTTTGCAAAATCAAACGCAATACGAAAAACAATAAAAGCATATGTACAGCAGTTAGAGCTTGACACTTCCGAGAGTGAGTGTATTTCACAGTCGGGTTCCGCATCTCACCATTCCGGATCTTGCCATTCCTCACAAAGAACTGCCGATAGTTCAATATTGCGCGGGAAAGAAGCTAAACTTGAAGCCCAGCGTGTATGATTGCAACATTTGGAGGAAGAATTTGCTTTAAAAGCTCAACTGAAGCAGTTGCGAGCAAAGCGTGATTTAGAAATGATTGAAAGAGAAGTGAATGTACTCAAGGAACCTCCGTATTCAATACCTAGCGAAGTTGCGAGTAGGGTAAACAGTGCACAACGTACCCGAGATTATGTGGAGAACTTGCCGCAAAGTTCTGCTTTAGGACCGGAAACTGCAGACCCTATAATTTCTACTCTTGACCCTGCAATCCCCCCTTTGTGCCTAAAGCTCCGACACGGGCTGATACCCAGAGTGGAATCGTCGACACATTCACAAAACATCTCGTAAAACGAGAACTGATTACGACAAGGTTGGCCAAGTATGACGATGACCCTATGAGGTTTCTCTCCTGGAAAATTAGTTTTCAAGGGATAATGAAAGATGTGGAGGCTACCAAGACCGAGGAGTTAGAATTATTGTGCGAAAAGTTGGGTCCAGAATCTTCCATACAAGCGAAGAAGATACAAGGTTATAGCGCGCATGATCCAGATCTAGCATGCAAGAAAATCTGGGAGAGACTTGAAAGGCGCAATGGTGCACCGGAAATGGTTGAAGCTCGTCTTCATAGCAGAATTAGAGACTTTCCGAACATAACTGTCGACAAATATCGTCTTCTGTATGATCTGACCGACTTGGCTATGGAGATCACTTCTATCAAATCTCAACCGCAGTTTGGAGCGTTATTCGCGTATTTCGACTCCAAAAATGGCGTGAATGAACTTGTCGAAAAGTTACCTTGGAATGTCAAGGAGAAATGGACCTCTGAAGCTACACGCTATAAGCAACAGAAAAATGTTCTGTATCCTCCATTTGAGTTCTTCGTCAAGTTTAATAAGAACATGGCTAGCATGAGGAACGACCCTACCTTTCAATATGAATCCAAGGTAGCTAACCAGAGGCAAGCTACTGCTCCTCGATAAAACAATCCGAATTCGAAGTCGCCATCTTCTACAAAGCGAAACGTAACCGTTATGAAGGTCAATGCCCAAGAATCGCCTGAGGACTCTGATATCTGTCCGCTTCACAAGAACGGTAAGCACGTCCTCAACGAATGTAGACCGTTTAGACAAAAGTTTATCGACGAACGGAAAAAGATCATACTCTTGAGTGGTATATGTTTCCGTTGTTGTTCTGGAAAGAAACATCGAGCGAGAAATTGTAAGACCGAAGTCAAGTGTAACATCTGTCAAGCTGCAACTTATCCTACTGCTCTGCATGAAGAGAAAGGCTTAAGTTCTTCCCAGGTCTTCAATCCCAATACTGCATCAGGTTCTCAAAACTACGAAGGGGAGAGAACGCCTGCAGAGACTGCTAATCAATGTGCACTCAAATCACCGGCGTAAGCAAATCATGCGCCAAAATAATTCCAGTGCGTGTATTCGCGAGTCCAGTCCTGAAGAATCCGTCATCGTTTACGCGACTATCGATGACCAAAGTAATCAATCGTTAGGAAAGTCGGTATTATTCAACCGTTTCAATGAGTCCTGCAAAGATATTCCCTACACTCTAGTGTCTTGTTCCGGCGCAGTCGCTGCTGCAGGCAGGATGTGCACTGGCTATAAGATTCAATCTCTCGACGGAAGTTGCGAACTTGCTATTCCTAGTCTGTTGGAATGCAACGACATTCCTAGTAGCAGGGATGAGATTCCATCTCCCGAGGTAGCTATGCTTTATTCCCATCTGAGACACGCAGCACCGCTTATTCCGCATGTTATTGAGGATGCTGACATGGAGCTCCTTCTTGGCAGGGACGTTATTCGTGCCAACGTTGTTGAGGACCAGATATTGGGAGAAGAGGATCAGCCTTTTGCTCAGAAGCTACCGTTAGGATGGGTGAAATTTGTTTTGGTGGAGCACATATTTCTGAAGTCCGAACTATGCAAAGCTACATACTAGGAAATGGTAGACATTCTAGGTTTTCACCATGCGAACACGAGCTTTCCGTATAAAGAGATTTGTTTGAGAAGACTGATCAGGACGAGAGAATAGGTTTGTCGGTAGAGGATCGTACCTTTCTTGAGATTATGGAACAATCATTTGCGAAAGATGAGAATGGCCGTTGGGAAGCGCCTGTTCCATTCAAGAAGGATAGGACGCGATTACCGAATAACAAATGTCAAGCACTCAGACGAGCTAGATCCTTCGATCGTTGTTTGCGTCATAACGAGCAAAAATGTGCCCACGTGAAGGACTTTATGAAAGCATTGTTCGCCAGAGGTCACGCAGAAAAGGCTCCCAATTTACCCGATGACGCAGAATGTTGGCTCCTCCCTTTGTTCGGGGTCTACCATTCTTAAAAATCGAGTTCCATAAGGGTCGTATTTGATTCCTCTGCCCAGCACGAAGGGATATCCCTTAACGACGTGATGATTAAGGGTCCTGATTTGGCCAACAACTTGCAGGGTATATTGATGAGATTCCGCCAAGAGGAAGTCGCGGTTGTGGCTGACGTGGAACAAATGTTCCACAACTTTCGAGTTGTTGAACCTCACCGCGATTACCTCCGTTTTTTCTGGCACACAAACAATGACTTGGATTCTCCCTTGGAGGTGTTTAGGATGACGAAAACCGAACTTCTCCCGAGGTTGCGAACTATGGCCTTCGTAAGTCGGTGTCATCTGCTGATCCGGATGTGCAGAGGTTTGTGTCAGGCAATTTTTATGTGGATGACGGATTGATGAGTTTTCCGAGCGTTGAAAGGGCTGTTAGTTTGGTACAGAGAACGCAGCGTTGTACGATGGCGGAAGATTGAGGCTCCATAAGATCGCTTCCAATTCGACGGAGTTATTGGAACTGTTCCCCAAAGAGGATTTAGCGAAAGATCATAAAGATCTAGATCTAGGTCAAGACTGCTTACCTGAACAGAGGAGTTTGGGGATTTGCTGGGATATTGTTTCCGACCGTTTCTTGTTTCGCGCAGACAAAGACCTGAAACCACTTACGCGTAGAGGCGTGTTATCCGTCATTAACAGTCTATTTGATCCTATTGGTTTTACGGCTCCCGTGACAGTTGAAGGAAGGATACTCATGCGGGAGGCCATGTCGTCAAAGTGTGGCTGGGACAAGTTGCTTCCGGTAACGTTGAGGATCCATTGGGAAAGGTGGGTTGACGAACTTGTTCACCTTCAGGACTTCACCATTCCACGTATGTACTGTTCGTTGTCTGTGGAGATGTCATCGCGTGTTGAAGTTCATGTATTTTCCGACGCATCGAAAGAGGCTGTTGCCGCAGTGGCATTTATCAAAGTGTTTTCTGAAGACTCTAGTGAGATTGGGTTTCTTACCGGGAAGGCGAAGGTGGCACCTGCACATGGCCACACGATACCGAGATTAGAACTGTGTGCTTCGCTTCTCGCGGTCGACATTGCAGAGAATATTAGAGAGCAACTTGATGTACCCAAAGACATGTTTACATTCTACACGGACAGCCGCGTTGTGTTGGGCTATATTTCGAATGAATCCAAAGGGTTTCACGTGTATGTCGCGAATCGGGTGAGCAGAATCCGATCCTTTTGTGGACCTCATTCCTGGAAATACGTCGCATCGAGTGAAAATCCCGCCGATATAATTACTCGTGGTTGTAGCTTCCGAATAGCCTGTGGATTAATGGACTTTTCTTTCTTCGCGGGGATAAGCGAGAGCTAAAACAACCTCAGGACTTTGATCTGATCAACACTGATGAGGACGTTGAGGTTAGAAAGCAGGTTTCTAGTGTCAAGACATCGGTGACGTGTCGTTTACTTGGTTGTGAACGTTTCGAACGGTTCTCAATGTGGACAAGCTTAGTGCGAGCGATAATGTTCT